TAAAAATACTATGCTTATAACGAACTTAGAATTGTAATTTAAAAAAAAAATTAAAAACAAAATTTTGAGCATGTTTCAGCTCGCGGATCGCGATTTCAAAACAATAAATTTAGCGGCATTGTTTGTTTGATTTTTGCACTTTATTTTTGCTGTATGTTGTATAAATATTTACACATTATACTTTTTATTAAATAGAATATCTTTGCATCCATTAAATTTGAAATATAAAAAATGCAAATGGCTTCCAAAATGAAGAAAACAAAGGCATTTTAAAAACAAAAGCGTTATTTCTTAAATAAAAAAAAAGGCCATTTTCAGAACTTTTCAAAGTGAAACAACATAGGCAAAATGTTAAGAACATATTAAAATAAGAGAATATAACTTTTCTGTTATAAAAGATAAAATATAAAGTTATTAAAAATTGTTACAAAGAGGAATCAACCTCAACTTTTGCCGCGATCGCACGTTTTAAGGCTAAAAAAAAAAAGTCCAAATAAACGGTCCCGTGATGAAACAAAAAATTATTTTTATGCCATTAACTATGGTGATTTTAAAGTCAGCAATGCAGCATGTCAGGTTAAAAAAAAAAACGAAATCTAGATCTAGAAGAATATGGGGAAACATGAAATGGAAGAAATTGAATGGTGCAATGCTTGGAAGAATGCTTTGAAACAACAAAGTATTAGAGCCATTTTTTCAAGTAAAAATTGTATTATATAATGTGATAATGATGTTTTAAAATCATTTCATATCTTTGAATATATATTTAATAAAACTTTGCCTAGGATTTGTCTTGATTTTTAACTTAGACATAGAGGTACATGTATGTTAATGATAAGAAGAACCTATCATCTAATGATTTCTATTATTATTTAGTATTAAGGAAATTGGTCAATTAAGGGAATTAAAATAAAGTGACCACTATTAAGAGGCAGCCTCTTCTTGTGTGTATGGCTGTTTTTTAATTATATGGCCTAAAATATTTGAAAAGTAAAAAAAAAATAGCCAAACCGTGGCTATAGTGAACCAAAAGCTCTGTCCCATTGGGGTTCACTATAGAGGGGTTTTACTGTAGTAATTTTTCTCATAATATAGTATCTTTTTGTACGTGGTTAGCTTTTCTTGATTATAATCAAGAATGGGTATTTGGCCAATTCTGGAATAATTAAAAAATCAACAGATAGTTGATATTTATTCTGATAGATGGCATAAGCCATCAGCAACTTTCAGTTGGATGATAAGGAGATGCCTTCTTTTTCTTTATTCTAAAACAACTTTGTCAGAATTGCAAGTTTGACAAGATGGAACCAAGATGCCAGGTGAGATTGAGTTGTCAACATTGACTCTCACAGAAAATATAGCCCCATCAATCACCTAAACACTTTAGTATTCTATATACAGTTACGAGCGTCATTCTTAATCAGTCATCTCTGTCACCGTTTGCTTTTTTTTTTGAATGGCGCCCTCCTATTGGTTGGCTACGGTCACGCCACCTTTGCCCCCCCCACTCGCCATTTAACTATTGTTTTGGAGCGGGTCGCTCCCTAAATAAATGCATATATTAGATAATAACCAAATGGAATCCTCTCTTTCTTTTTCCCAGTAAGAGACGCCTACGGAAGCCAACAGTACATAGACAGATAAAGCACATAGGCTATAGTTATTAACTAACATATGCAATTAATTAAGACGCCAATTTATAATTGTAACAAATAGTATTTGAATCAAAACATTCAATCGGGTAAAACACGGGCGTTGCCCGGGTCATTCGGCTAGTTTCATATATGTGCAGAATTGTTCAATACAGTATTAGAGCTTTAAAAAGGGGTCTTGTGGATCAAATTGTGGCGAAACAGTTGGAAGGGTTCAGCACTCATGAGCAAAGCCCTCAAAATATTTTTCATCACCATAAGGACAGCAGAAAGTTATTTTTATTTATTTAGAAAAGACAAATTTGTGCTTAATTATTTTATTTCCTATAGATGACTAGAATTGGTTGGAGACACACAAGTTAACCAAAGTGTGAAAAAAAATTGGCTCTGTCTCCTTCGGAAAAAATAGACAACAGGTGATATAAAAGAATTTCCACTTTCTTAAGTTTGGTCCAGGAGTGTGTGTTTACCTTTCACCCTTTCAACCAGGATTCACATTAGGAGAAACACAATGTGCTTAAGAATCTGTAAATTCTCCAAGTTCAGCACAACCTGCCTCATATTTTGGTTAGTTTTGGTGGGTTTGGACCTCTTTATGTAGCTTCATTTTCTCTATTGAAACCTCTTTTTTTTTCTCTAATGGAATGTTTAAAGGAATAAAGCAAAATATTTTGAAAATGCTTTTATTATTTAAGGATAGTTTGCGTGTAAAAAAATTGTAGGACACAAAATCTCCAAATAAAATAAGTTTTTTAAATGGAATGATAAGACACAATTTGGATTATAGATTATAAATATTGGGAGTACAAATAAGTTTTGAGGGATTTGCAAAAGAAGCCACAACAAATCTATATTAATAAAATGCAAATTTCATAAGTGTACATCACTAAAAATTTTCGTTACAATGCATCAATTTCAACCAAATTTTCAACATTTATGTAAAACGAGATGGAGCAGGTTTTGCTTAACATCAAAATATTTTTCCCTAACATTAACATGCGTAACTTCGCTGTTATCGATTAAATACAAAAAAATCAACAGAGTTAATTTTATTTATATATAAATACAAAATTAAATTTCAACAGAGTTAATTTTTTTACATACTAGCTAATAATCTCAATCTAAAAAAATATTCAAAACAAGCAATTTTAAGATAACACCATATGTAAAACAGTCGGCCAAGAAAACAAATAACGTGTAATATATATATAATATAATATATATAATAAAATCTTAAATATTATTTATCAAAAGTAAGATTATCTCAGGTTGACACGGCAATTTATTTGAGACAAGAATAATGATACAATTCCAAGGCGAAGATACTATTCCTTTAACTTCCAATTACCGAGGGAACCAATTAATATTGATTTTATTCAACTTATCGAGTATTTTTCAAGGGACCGGAAAAAAATGTTCACTAGATAAAACGATGATTTTGTAATGTAGAAAATTAGGAAAGACAAAATTCAGGATAACACGGCACACAGGGACCGGGAAAAAATGTTCACTTTATCGAGAGATTCAAATTTACAAGTTTCAAATTATCAAAATATATCTTCTTTTTTAAATAAGTTTATAGAGAATTGTTTTAACAAATGTTCGTTAGACAAACCTTTACTCGGGTAAAAACCCGGGCGAAGCCGGGCACATCCGCTAGTATTATATAAATAGCATCAGACCTTGTAAGGTTTCATGTTAAGGCTTCATCATTTCCCCAAAAAAATCAGAAGAAGTCTTTTCACTCAAGTGTAAGGAACTTTTTTTTTGGTGCTCTAACCATGTCAACCTTTTTGCCAACAAAACACAATTTGCGGGAAGCGCTGCTTTTTTGTTTTAATTTGAAGAAAAGTGCAACTGATGGACATCGATTGCTGTGTGAGGCATATGGTAAACATGCTCTATCAATAAAATCATGTGAGTACTGGTTTCGGCGTTTCAAAAGTGGCGATTTTGACACCAGAGACAAAGAACGCGGAGGGAGGCCAATAAAGTTCAAGAACGCTGAGTTGGAGGCTTTATTGGACGAAGATTCAAGCCAAACTCAAGAGGAGCTCGCTGAAACCTTGGGAGTGACTCAACAAGCGATTTCGAACCGTCTCAAGGTCATGGGTATGGTGCAAAAACAAGGAAATTGGGTTCCATATGAACTCAAGCCAGGAAACATCGAGCGCCGTATTTGCACGTGCGAACTACTGCTAAAAAGACAAAATCGGAAGGGTTTTTTGCATCGAATCGTGACGGGGGACGAAAAGTGGATTCACTACGACAACCCAAAGCGCAGAAAATCGTGGGTTAAGCTCGGTCATGCATCAACTTCAACGGCCAAACTGAATATTCACGGCAAGAAGCTAATGCTGTGCATCTGGTGGGATCAGCTCGGAGTGATCTACTATGAGCTACTTCAGCCTAACTAAACCATCACTGGAGAACGTTACCAACAACAATTGATGCGATTAAGCCGAGCATTGAAGATTAAACGCCCACTATATGCCAAAAGACATGACAAGGTGATCTATCAGCATGACAACGCTTGGCCACATGTTGCAAAAGTTGTCAAGGAGACTTTGGAGGCGCTTCAATGGGATGCCCTACCCCACCCGCTGTATTCACCAGACATTGCTCCTTCAGACTACCATATGTTCCGTTCGATGACACATGGCCTGGTCGAGCAGCACTTCACTTCTTACGAAAAATTGGGTCAATGTTTGGATCGCCTCAAAAGACGAGGAATTTTTTCGACACGGAATCCGTAAGCTGCCTGAAAGATGGGGAAAAGTCGTAGCTAAATATGGACAATACTTTGAATGAAATATATTGTACTGATTTCTCTGAATAAAGCTTCGAATTTATAAAAAAATCCCTTAAAACTTATTTGTACTCCTAATACAAGGTAATAAGACCAAATCTATTTACTATTTATATAAAACTATTTATTTATTTGGATTTGGTCTTATTACCTTGTGTTTATTTAAATATAGCATTGATATAAGCACACAATACTTGAAGGAAAACATACAATATGTATAGCTACCATAATGCCATATGGAAGGAAGTATAAGAAGTTGTGTGCTGGCCGCAGGTGTGTGCGGAGAAGGAGGTACTGGAGGAAAGGCTGGAGGCTGCGGGACAGTGGACCCAGGAGCTGACAGAGGAGCTACTGGAAGTGAAGCAGAGGTACTCAGAGCTCCTAGCGGCCCTGCAGGAACTCCAGCAGGAGACCCAGAAGAATGAAGAACCCCCACTCCCAGACATCCCTGCAGCCCCAGAGTCCTTGGCTTGTGAGCTGCAGGGATTCCTCATTCCTGGGTAGGTGGCAACATTGACTTGAAGGTTGCCGGCATTCAGTGTTCTTGAAATGAGATATACTTTGGCCAGTAGATTAATCTCTACACACACTGGACGAAGTACTTCTTATATCAAGAACATTGACCTACTGCAATGTCTGGATACATACTTCTGGACACATCTCCCTGCAGATTCCCCCCTGGACTTTTGGAGTATTCAACCAAATTCTGGTCCAACATGGCAACGGTACCCATTTTCCTATTGGCATGGACCCAGAGCAGCAGTTATACACATCCAAGATAGAGGACAACTGCTGTGATAGAGATGCATGGAGACATCTGAGATTCTTTATTGGACAACAACATAAAAGCGCATAATGCTAAAACATCAGCCAACAGGTCCTTTCAACAAACATTTCTAGACCTTCAAGACCACATTTCTGTCCCTCTCTCTCTGGCTTCAGCAATATCCCATCATAATCTTACACTGTCAACACATATTATAACTGAAACTCTTACTCAGAAACCAAATTATAAAGATTCATATACCCATATACAAAGGTTATGTTATCATGTATTAGAGTACCATCTGTTATATAATAAACTATTTCTGAAATTAAAATACAGTAAAACCTCCCTGTAAAGGACACCTAATTGCAAAGCCAAAGTGCCCTTTAGGGAGAGGTGTCTTCTTACCAAAGAGTTGATAAATAAACACAAGGTAATAAGACCAAATCCAAATAAATAAATAGTGTGTGACGTATCAGTAACAGCATTGTTACCATCTTCAGACAAAAGTGCTGAATGAGAAAAAAAACATGCTATGATATTTTTTCTCATTCAGCACTTTTGTCTGAAGATGGTAACAATGCTGTTACTGATACGTAACACACTATTTATTTATTTGGATTTGGTCTTATTACCTTGTGTTTCTATTCTATAATCCAAATTGTGCCTTATCGAGTTGATAAATAGTAAAAATGGTAATTTTCCAAATGAAAACTGTCTTTTGTAGAGAGGTGTCTGCTAAAGGAAGGTTCTACTGTAATTGCCTACTGCCCTCACACTGCAATGGTAAATTATCACTTTAATCTCAAAATTTTATTCCATTATTTTGCCATTGCAGTAAGGGCAGTAGAAAAAATTTCTTATAAAGGTTATGTGTTTTATGGAAACTTGTGTGAAATTAAAAGCAATTCTTATGTTCAGTTAGTAATAGGGACTACTGTGATAATTGGAACAAATCTTTTTGTTTTCCTAACAGATCTCAATTAATGAAAAGTGGTTCTATATTCCTCTTTATATACATGGTTAGGCGCAATTTGGATTATAGATTATAAACATAAGGTAATAAGACCAAATCCAAATGAATAATATGTGATGTTTCGGTAATAGCATTGTTACCATCTTTAGACAAAAGTACCGAATCTTTAATTAAATATTCAGTTCAGTTTACTTAAGCATTCAGCACTTTTGTCTTAAGATGGTAACAACACTGTTACTGAAATGTCCTACACTACTTGTTTATTTGGATTTGGTCTTATTTACCTTGTGTTTACACTTTATGTACAATTTAGTTCTACAAGTTTCAATCTTTACCTCTGAAGAGATTTAGCTAAAGCCTTCTAAAAATGTTTCAGCCTCTATGTAAATGTTTATTGTAACAAAATACAGTTAAACCTGTCTATAGCACCCCCTCTTGGGACTCACCAAAATAGGGTGCTATAGACAGGTTACTTTTAATGTAAATCGCATCGTACTACGTATTTAAAATCAGGCGCTATAGAGAGGGAGGCGCTATAGACAGGTTTAACTGTACATGCCTTGTTCTTCCTCAAATATTTCATAAAGGCCTTTTTTTAGACATGCTTCAAGCATAATATTGTAACGTAGAAAATGAGGAAAGATAAACTTCAGGATGACATGACAATTTATTTAAGGTACAGTCTCACCAATTATAATTGATAAATTAAAAGAGAAACAATGAGGGAAGTTTATCACAGAGTAATACAACAAAAAGCCTTTATTTATGGTCACTGACCCTATACAGGATTCACCAGAGGTATGAATAAGAACAAAGCAGTGAGACAAAGGAAACAACGATATAGACAGAAGAAAAAAAAAACAAGAAAGAGAAAGAGGGAAGCAAGAAAAACAACACAAAAAGGCAGAGTAATAAAATATATAAACATCAAAATAAATAATCTGTTAATAAAGTCAAAAATACTTTGTTACAATATAGATACAAGAAAATAAGACCTAATCCAAATAATTTGTTAGTGTGTGATGTTTCGGCAACAGCATTGTCACCATTGTCGCAAACTAATATATTATTTGGATTAGGTCTTATTTTCTTGTATTATAATCTATAACCCAAATTGTGCTTCATCACAAGTGAATCATATTTTAAGAAAAAGGCATCTCCTTATCATGCAACTGAAAGTTGCTGATGGCTTGCACCATCTATCGGAATAAATATAGACTATTCTCGTTTATTTTTAATTATGCCAGAATTGGCCAAATACCAATTCTTGATTAATCAAGAAAAGCTAACCATGGACGTGTTTCGGGCTGAAAGTTGCTGATGACTTTCACCATCATCAGAATAAATATAAACTGAAAGTTGCTCATGGCTTGCACCATCTATCGGAATAAATATCAACTTTGAAACTTTGCTGCAAGCCATCAGCAACTCTCAGTTGCACGATAAAGAGATGCCTTTTTCTTAATTAATGCACCTTATCCCAGTACAATATCACATTTGTATTATTTTTTCACAAGTGAGTTCATATGTTATTTGGAAAGATGAAACATGCTGTACATATGTAGCTCTTGTCAGAATGGTTAAGTAAATAGTGTAGCACTACGCTATCAACTACCACACTCTAGCCAATGCTGTCTGCTCTGTGGTACCAGTCCCAGTATACCCTACGCCGGCTCCACCCGAAGTTCCAGGAGGTCCCCGCGGCCCCCAGAGAGATACGGTGACAGCAGCACGGCTCCCTCAGACACAGAGTCAGCTTATGAAGGAAGCTGTCAGACTGATGATGAAGACTCGTAAGTATCTCCCACATTCTGGTTAAATTGTTAGCAAGATAAATATCACAAAACAAAAATTAAACTACAAAGTTAAATAGCACTATGTTACTTGGGTGGTTGGTGGAAGGCTGGTTAAACCGTTTGGTTTTCAACCGCTACGACCCGGGTTCGATTCCCACATTGGACACTTTTTTCTGTTTGAAAAAAAAAAAAAAAATGCTCCAATGCCCCCCGATTCTTGCAAAAGTCCAACCCCACCAGCGAGTGCAAGTAACCAAACGGGGCTCTGGCACATTTGTAAGTGCAAAGTCGAACTGCTTTTCACATGTGTAGACATGTGGTGCGCTTACAGTAAAAAGCAGTCGCTAACTACCCACCATGATTATCATGGCCTGTACCACGTGTACTAGAGATAAGCAAAAAAAAATTTCCTCTTGCTAACTTTCTTTTCACTTTGTGCATTATAACCAATATATAAAGAAGTTGTATTCATCAGTACTATATGAGCTATTCAGACTCCAACCTGGGGGTACAGGACCATCAACAGCCTGCCCAAGAGGCCCAAGTTGCGGATGCGGCACTGCAGCAGTGGCATAGGTACTGATGAAAGTACATCCCGGAGATCCTGGTCACCTGAGGCCCTCTTCAGATCATCTTCTGCCAGGCCCTTCCGCCACCACGACAAACTCCAGCTCACCAAACCTCTGAAAGGTGAAGTCCCTCCTCACTCTCCTGTTGTTGTTGAAAGTCTGAGGCAAGTTTTTGACTTCTTCAGCCATCGAGACAGTAATACAAGATTTGAAATTATTAATGCCTCTCAGAAAATGAGATCAATTGTCTGGTCATCTACGGACAATGATTTTTTAGAATGATTGCAAAGTTTTCTCATTATGTACTAAGTGCAATTCTCAACCTGCAACCCCAAACCACATCATTAACCAAAATCCTGATTGATCTTTGTTAGAATCTCCTCTTCTTCTTTCTTGGATGTAGAATAAGAGGATTCCATTTGATTGTCTGTTTTTCTAACAAAGTGCTGTAAAATGTATTTAGACAAGAACAAAAGTTTTCCAAATTAGTTTTCAAGATGATTTTCTTGCAGCATTCATTTATTATCCTATTTGAATGTAATTCTACTGTCCTATAAGCTTATGTCCATAGTTTTCTTGAAATCCATTTCTGAGATTCCATCCTTCAGTGCTGCGTATATAAGCAGAATCGTCCAATACAGTATTAGAGCGCTGAGAAGCGGTCTGGTGGATTAAATTAGCGAAACCGCTGGGAGGGTTCCCACTGATGAGCCAATCTCCCAATATATTTTTTCATCGCAGTAAGGGTAGTATAAGTTTGTATTATGTATAAAAGAAACATTCGTGCTTTTAAGTCCTTTCATTTTATATTCATTTATCTGTCTGTCTTGAAATGCCAGCTGTGGTTCCAACCCCAGTGGGTGTTCAGGATCCCTCACCCTCCAGCGATGGCAGCAGCTGGCCAATCCCAACCCCATCCGGATGTTTGAGTCCCAGCAAGGAGTCCATGCCAAGGGAGAAGCAAGCCTGGACCTGGAATCTTTCCTGGGTCGCTCCAGAAAGAATTCTACTGCCACAGGTAACAGAAACTGGGTTCAGCCATTGCATTTTCCTTGCTTTATATCAAGATATCACCAACCTTTACCCAGACAGGTATCTTTCAAAACTAGTAGAAACTCTGAGTGAACATAATTAGTAGACGCCTCTTTATAAAGGACTAGTTTTTATCACTGAAATTACTTTTTTTTCCTGATCACATCCCTTCCAATTGCCAATTCCCAACATGAGGCCCGTGGACCACACACAGGTATATATGTTACAGCCTGTGAAGCTAGGTCAAATTGATAGAAATTTTAACTTCATTGTACATACCAGCAAAAGAAAGAAAAAAGTACAAATAGATGCATTTTGACTCAGCAGGAAATATTATTTCTGAATGATAAAGTATAATTTGGATTATAGACTAGAAACAAAATGTAATAAGACCAAATCTCTAAATAAATAAAAAGTGTGTGATGTTTTGGTAATAGTGTTGTTGCCAAAATGTCACACACTATTTATTTATTTGTATTT